TTAGACAGATAAACAAGAACGTGTTTGTTTATTTGTTTGAGTAAAGAGAGCACACATGATTTAAAAAATGTTTGCTCTTAGGACAATGTAATGTCAGTCAGTCTTGAACCCCAAACGTCATCACTAAGCACAAAAGTTAAATCTATAACCAAGGAAATGACCCATCTCTTGAAGTTTGTTCACACATCACACTCTTGTTCCAGGAATCCAATGTAAACACAGCAATTTCACTAAAATATTCAATAGGATAGCCTAAAAACACTCAAAACGGTCCAGTGCGTCCCATTCAATGTAAGATTCTTGTGAGTCACCCGACGCTGACGGCAATGACTACTTTCGTTTTTCTCTTTCTCCCGTTGCTTCCGCTGTTCTGGGGAAGCGGGTAAGGGGAAGTCACTCAAGAAAACAATTATATCCGGGCACTGTTGATGATCCGTTCAAAACAAAAGTAGGCTAAAATTCGGACTTCCGGCACGTCGCAAAGTGACGCCAATCACGGCGAATGTTAAACAGCCAACCGAAATTGTAGATCTAGGAACCCGATATTCCTTTCGCACATTGCGGCTTTTGAAGTATTGAATAAACGACGAAAAGCAAAAAGATTTAACCAGCTATGGTGATTCTACTGAAAAAAATAATGGTGTTTTCTGAAACACCTAGTCCATGACGACACGACTGACGCACAAGTGATCCGAATTGTTCGTTTATTTGCAAACAAATAAACCGTTTTCTTGAGCCAGTTAACCTTTCTCGATGACAAATAGCATAGGATCAAAGCACACGTAAAAAAACCCCCACCCAAAAATACTAAATTTTGGACATTCTTGGAAGTTTGCATTGGTGTGTTCAAAATGACAGTCCAGAAATCACTGAAAAACTAACATTTTTGGCACAAAATTTGCAAACTCAAGATTGTAAAGCTGACATGGGGTCTGAAACTGCTAATGCAGGTTCTACATCCTTTGGGTTCTTGACCCCTTAATTCACATCTGTAAGGATCAGCCGTTTTTCTTTGACCGAGGAACCTTTATGCTTATTTTGCTTCTCCGTGTTTCTCTCTCTACTAACTTCACCTTGACCTGACTTTGCTGAACGCTGGCAAGTTTTTATGTACTGTTTAATCTCTGTTGAAGAAGAAATGTGCTAACACATGAGACTACAATGCTGAATATGTGCTCTCGCACAACTGAAGTGTATAATGTGTCAGCAAGATCTACCGCTGAAAACTTCTATGACGTACACAATAAACAAGTCCCTGGCCTCCGCTTTTGCCCTCTGCTTGCAGAGAGGTTGTTGGCTTACACTCGAACCATGCCCCCCTCTCTTTTTCTGTCTGTCTGTTTGTCTGTCTGTCCATCCATCTGTTGTCTGTCCGTCTGTCTACTCTGTCTGTCTATCTGTCTCTCTTTCTCTCATAGCAGCTACTTTGGTAAACAAAGTTTGTTGCTGTGTTTGATTAGATCTACTCTCGCTGACGCCAATTCTTTTCAGTGTATATGAATTGTTTATGCTATATGCGTCTTTTGAATGTAAGGAATATAGAACAAATTCAGGACAAATCTTTTCACTGCAAATGTGAGCAAAATTTCCCGTGAAGGTTATAAGCCTCTTTGTTCAGTGTTGTGTTCTTATATGCGTTCCCTTGTAAAGTCATGTTTTTTTTAAATTTTTCGTTGACAGATGGTCTCTTCCCTCCCCCGTTTTTTAAACTTATTAGGCTATTTTTGTTTCAGGAAAATTTCGACTTCAGGCAAAACCGAAGTTGTTTCAGGAGAAAAAGTCGAGATGGAGGAGACACTGATGGAGGCTGTTGCTGGGGGCAATGTGATGGGAGTGGAGGCCATTCTGAAGGAAACTTCGGCTGGCAGCTCCGACAAGGAAATCGAAGATGATTCAGCTCAGGGTGTGCTCACAACAGCTCTCTTCTCTGCTGTGCGTCTTGGCCACAAGCGTGTTGTTCAGCTATTAGTCAAACATGGTGCTGATGTTAATGCTGTTGACGCTGAGGGTATGCCTGTTTTGCACGTGGCTGTGGAGAGTCGGTTCCCTGACCTGGTCAAGTTCCTCGTGAAGCGTGGGGCGAGGGTGTCAGCCTTGTGTCCCGCAGGGGATTCGGTGCTGATGGCCGCGGTAAAAAGTCGTCAGCCAGTTGATCTGGTGCAGTTCCTGATTCGCTCAGGTGGTGCAAACGTCAATGATCAGGATGCTAGAGGCGTAACGGCTGCTATGATTTGCTTAGGGCATTTCGACTTTGACATGTTGAAGCTACTTATCGACAACAAGGTGAATCTCAATACGGTTGACAATGCAGGGGACACTGTGTTTTCCTTAGCGGCCTCGAAAAATGTAAGGCAAATGGTGGAACTTCTCACATCAGTACATTCAAGGAAACCCTCTTATCTTCTGCTCCGTGCCATTAAGATGAACTGTGTAAACACTGTCAGCACTTTGCTTGACTGTGACTTTATGGATAGGAATGTCAATTCAGAGAAAGGACCTAGCCCTCTCAACTCAGCCCTGTCCAAAGGCAGGCTTGCCAACTACAAGATTGTCAGCGAGTTGCTGTACCACGGGGCGGACCTGGAAAAGGAAGACCAGGATGGGAATCGCCCGTTGTCCATCGCTGCTGCCAGTGGACGGTTGGACTTGGTGGAATTATTGTTGAGTCGAGGTAAGATGAGATTTATTTATATGTTATGGATAATTATTGGTTTCATGACTTATTGTTGGATATTTGATAGTTCATATCGGTTGCCTCTTCCTTCTCTGTAGATGAGCATTCTCCAGAGAAGTCACAATGGTGGATTAACTTCACAATTTGAATTTAAAAGATTGCTTATCCATTCAGTGTGCAAGGTTTTAATGGGGGCCCTCGTGGTCGAGAGGTATGGTGTTCGCCTCTCATTCTCTAGGTCTTGGGTTCGAAACCTGGCAGCAACGGGAAAATTTTCTTCTCAAGAAAAAATTTTCTCCTTTCACATCCTTCCCTGCATTCTCTAGATCTAATTAAGTTTTTGTCTTCTGCTTTCATCTTCACTTTCTGCACTCCCCCCTTTTCCCCCTCCTTCAGGCTCCTGACTCTTTCTGATGTCTTTCTTCTGCTACTCCTTGGCCCCTTCTTACTGCTGTCTTTCAGCCACACCCCTGATCTTAGGGTAGGTAAGATCTAACACCTAGGCTTTTTGGATAAGGGCAAAAAAATCTCAGAGGTCGCATGTGCAAGTTGCGCAAGATAAAGATCCCTTGGTGGTCCTAAAATCAATGAGAAGTCTTCTGCTGTCACCTGTGTAAAATTCAAAATTGATTCCTACCAAACTAAAAATTATTAATGTGTCCCGTGCTCTCGTATGACCTTATACTGTTGCGAAAGCCGTAAAACACTTTAAAAAGGTTTTTAAGTACAGTGAGACTACCAAAAATCTCTTTTACGGGTGAAATGTCGACATTTATTTTACAAGTGCTGTGTTTCAGTTGATGGGATCAGAGTGCATTGTTCCCTCCACCATCATTATTATTATTATTATTATTATTATTATTATTATTATCATCATCATCATCATCATCATCATCATCATCATCATCATCATCATCATCATTATTGTTAGCTTAGTTGGTATCATGCTGGGATGTGGTGCAGCAAATGACCCTGCTTCAAATCCAGACCTACCATACCAAGTTCTCAGACTCAGATGAAATTAAAGTCCTTCAATTTCTTTTTTGCTTGTTGAAGAACTTGATTTGCTTAAAGTCTGTTGTTTAAAAAAAAAAAGAATTCCGTTTCAATTGGTCATACATAACGTATCAGAAATGGTGTGAAAATTCACATATTTATTTGCATGTGTTTGCAGTACACGTTTATTTGCCTCTGTCGGTTGGTAATCCCATTTTGAAAAACTGGGGTTCAAGAGACTCTGATTTTTATTTTTCTCCCTAACTCCTGTCCTATTTTCGGGCAGGTTTTTATGGAAAACTATTTTAGTTTTAGGTCATGGAATGGTTGACAGGTCAGCTAATCTCTTATTCTTTTTTCGAAGTTGGGTTATTTGAGATGTGTTCAAGGCTTTCTACCAACTTGAATGGAGATGTGGGTGGTTGGAGTGCACTGCTGGCAGGTCCTACTTCAGTACTTTCCCTGTGTTGTTCCTGTCTGTCTGTCTTACTTTGTGTTGATGTGCTTCTTGCTTCTTTTTACTCAAACGAACAAGTGAATCTGAGTTCTACGTCATATTTTGAGGTCACCTGTCATAATAACTTTATGATGTTGAAAGGGGTTATGCACACATACATATTTACCAATTAATTATCATAGATATAATTATTATTTTACTTATCATTATTAATATTAAGGGAGTGCTTATTTAGGCCACATATGGCCTAAATAAGGTAAGGGAGGGGGGTTTAGCTTATTTGGGCCACAGTGTGGCCTAAATAAGGTCACCCTAATATTAATTTTCATTATAATTAATATTTATCTTGTTATCTTTATTTTTACAATCAGTAAGAAATAGTGTTATTTTTATTATTCATATTATTGTGATTATGATTTCAGGTGCAAAGATTAATGCTAAGGGCAGCTTGAAAAACATGACTGCTCTGATGTGGGCAGTGAAGAAAGGCCACATGAATGTGGTGGAGTGTCTGATAGAACACAAGGCGAATGTCAACCTGCGGGATGATTTTGCATGCACGGCCTTGACCTATGCCCTAGGGGAAGGGCGGCTTGATTGCGTTCAGCTCCTGCTGGCCAAGAAAGCGCAGGTTCACAAGGCAAAGGATTTGCAGGTCGCTGTGGTCAACGGCCACACGGAAGTGACGAAGATCCTGCTGGAGGTGATGAACCCACGGGAGCTGAATTCGGGACTGCTGTTTTCTGCAGTGAAAGACGACTGTGTGGAGATTGCAAAGTTGTTGATTCAGTATGGAGCCGATGTTAATGGGGTCAACACCCTGCGGGAGACGCCTCTTATGGTGGCGCGCACTCGGGCAATGGCTGTGCTCCTCATAGACAAGGGGGCTTGTGTGAATTACCAGAGCCCATTTGAAGGGAAGACGGCGCTCATGGAAGCGGCGAATTCCAGCAACCATGTTGTGTCAGTCTTGATTGAGCGGAAGGCTAATGTGAACTTGACAGATTCCGAGGGAAACACTGCCCTGATTTTAGCTGCTCTTGGGAATAACCCAGATGCTGTGCAGATGCTGTTGGCTGCTGGGGCTGATGGGAATCTAATGAATAAGAGGAACTTGTCAGCCCTCATGGCTGCGGCTCAGAGAGGTCTTAGGTTGGCTGCGGTCAGGTCTTTGATAAAGAAAGGTGTGGACGTAAATGCCAAGTCTGCTAAAGATGAGACTGCTCTGATGTATGCTTCCCGGAACAGGAACTATTCCATTGTCCGGCTTCTGTTGGCGCACGGAGCGAAGGTCAACCTACAGGACCTCGATGGGAACTCAGCGCTTATGATGAGTAAAACTGCCCCAGTGGGTGAGATGCTCATGTCTGCAGGGGCGGAGGTCAATCTCCGGAACCGGGATGGGAAGTCAGCGCTGATGTTGGTACTGGAATCGATTTCCACTGACTCTTCTCTAGTGGAGGGACTAATTCGGAACAAAGCTGAAGTTTTTGTGCTCAATGCACAAAAGACAAAATCTCCTCTATCGAGTCTCCTTCGCAAACAAGTGTTGCTCCCAAGTGATTATATCTGTCTCCAGGAGCTGCTGAAGGCTGGCGCAGCGCGGATGGGTGCACCCTACCACTGCCCGGCGGCTCCGCTGGTCAAGTTCATCCTGGTTGACAAACCCAGCATCGTCCAAGGCTGGGTCACATCGGGTGCGCCTCCTGCCATGGTGTGCAACCACTGCCTGGTGAAAGAGCGCTGCTGTACTACGGCTGTCTCCACCCTCCTCCAGTGCTGTGGTGTCAGCGAGTTGTCTCCCTTTATGATGGCCTTGGTCTGCGGAAACCTCAAAATTGCCCAGTACCTTGTTGACATTTGGTTCCTCACGCCGTCCGACGTTAACGGGCCCGTCATGCAGAAGGGCATCCGGAAAGTATTGGAAAAACTAAATCAGCCAAAGAGTGTGGAGTATCTGGACCAGTTTTTTACAGAACCACCTCCACTGGTCCGGCTCTGCTTTTTCTCAGTGCTGCAGTCGGTCAAGAGTGGGCCGGAGCGCGAGGCGTACGTACGGGGCACAGGCCTGCCGCAAACCCTCCAGGATCAGCTGTTGTTTAGTCCACGCAATTCCAAATTTTCTCTTGAGGGCCCAGACTCTGATTATACCTCTTTCGCTGCTGTTCTCAACTACAGACCTCATGAGGTTTAGAATGAAGTAACAGATTTGAAAAAAAATACAGTCAGGGACAGATAACATGGCAATGGAAAACTTCAAATCCAACGATAGCTCATACAACTTGCCATTCTCCCACTGATATCTCTTTTATTTTTCGCTGTACGGTCTACCTAAGTCATGGATGTGTCAAACACATGTGTTGAATCCCCAACATGAGTTGTCCGTGCTGGATTGTAGTTTAAAGAGGAGTGATGAATTGAGTTTTTTTAAGCACTTGTGTGGTAAATTTGGTTTTGTTTGTTTAGAGTTATTGATAGTTTGTTTTAAATTTTGTTTTGATTGAGGGAATAATAGAATATTTTTTTTATATATTCAGAATTAATTAATAGGATTTAATATGGTTTTTAGAACAGTGTGATAGATTGTACGGTTGTTGTTTATAGAGGTAGTGACATGAAAGACAGTGTGTGAATTCAAGTTGCTCTAGAGTGGCATTCTAGATTTTGTAACTTTTGTTTAGATTTCAGTAAAAATCAAGTAATTAGTCGTCTTATGAAACAGTATCCAGTTACTTAAACTTTTAGTGTCTTTAACGGAGGGAGGGAGGGAGGGAGGGAGGGAGAGAGAGAGAGAGAGAGAGAGAGAGAGAGAGAGAGAGAGAGACCATATAATGCACCTGTTGTTGTTTGCATTATTGTAAGGCATTTTGAGCACTTCCCTTGTGGAAATGCACTACCTAATTAAATATTGAGTTAATTGTTAAAAAAAAAAAAATTACATTATTCATTATGTAATGTCTATGTGTGCTAACAGTCTGCACCTGTCACATGAACTAAAGTTTTTAAAGCAGAGTAATTGCACAGATTGTGGTTTTTGGGATCCACTGTTTTTACATTCCAGAAAGAACGTAAGGTTCAATGACACGTTTTCATTTCTTAGGAAGTAGTGGTTGGTCAAGGAGTTGGGCGGTAGGAGCTCCAACAGCCCAAAATGTCTATTGACTATTTATCTTGACCCATGGTTGTGGTATTCATGGAGGCCGAGTGTGATGTGATATATGAAGCAGATGGTGCTCTGATGTTAAGCGTGCTGACGGGTAGACTTTGCAGAATTGATTTCAGTGTCACTTTTTTAATCAATAAATTGTCATCTTGTCATGTGTTCACATATGTGGGTTGTATTTTGCTAGGTTTTGAAGTGAAGTGACCACGACTCAATTAGTGCCAAACAAAGGGCTGGGGAGGGGGGGGGGGGGGTGTGCTGTGCGCACTCAAATATAGCTAGACCTGGTGTTATGTCCTCCATTAGGGTGTAGTTTTTGTAGCCGAGTTTTTATAGAGAGCAAAGAGTGGCAGTCATGACAGTACGCAGTCTAGGTCTAGGAGTATAAGCCTATGGTTGAAGACAACTAAATTTAGAGTTTTTCATGATGTGCCAACAGGAGCTGGAGGGGAGGAGCAGTAACTGAAACAATGATTTGATCATCTCATAGAAATAGGTAAAATGGAAGATGTTTTATGAGTTGTGAGTTAAAAAAAAAATATATACAATGATATAAGTGTACTATGAGCTTTATGTATTTCTTTATTATGAAACTTTTCATGTGATCAGACAATTAGAGGATTATCACCAACCATCTTGTGCAACCACATTAATGATTAATGATCCAAATGTTTGTGATTTCATTATGTTTGAACTGCTGTACCCAGTATGAACCTATTTTCTTACATTGTTAATCTTACTCATATAAGTCTAAAAACTTCAAACATAAGTAGTATGTTATATTAGTATTTGGTATCAGCAAACATCATCATTTTCCGTACCATCAGCTAAAAAAGCTTTCAATGAGGAAACACTTCAACAAATTATGAAAACTGTTAAAAGTTAGTCTAGAGACAGGTTTACTTTTTTGTTCAAAATGAAACCTGCATAAAGGGAGAAAAATGCAGAGAAATATCTCAGCACTCTGAGAGGTAAGGTAATTGATTGATAAAGACCAGTTGAAAACAGTTCATAGGATTTGGGGATCTGGGGGGAAGGAACTTTATCTTGCTACTCTCTAATTATTTCAAGACCCTCTCCCCCCTCCTCCCCCCCAACAAGATCTTTTTCAGAGGCTACAACTTTGTCGAAATTTAAAACCGGAAAAAGAAACTCACCTGTTCAAAATTCGAATTGAGTTTTAGCTGTATGTAGTCATCGATTCACAATACAGATTTGCTGCAGCAAGACTTTTCTGTTTATATTATATATTATACTATAAATTTTAAATTGTCTGCAAGTACTTGATCACTTTTTTCTTGTGTATAC